GGGTTGGCGCTGGAGGGGTTAATGGGATCTTGGCGAATCCCTGACCATGGGCCACACAGGTGGGCTTCAAGTCAAGTTTTGAAAAGTTAAGTCTCAGACTGGTAATGAGGCTCAGGGGAGAGCGCTTGCCTCGCATGCATGAAGCTCTGGGTTCAATTCCTCAGTACCCCATACACAGAAAAAGCCAGAAGTGGTGCTGTGGCTCAAGTAGTAGAGCACTAGCCTTGAGCCCAGAGAGGCTCGGGGACAATGCCCAGGTGCTGAGTTCAAGCCCCAGGACTGGTAAAACAACAGCAACATATAAAAATTAAGTCTCACCAGGTGCTGGTGGCTTACGCCTGTCATCCTAACTGCTTAGGAGGCTGAGATCTAAGGATTATATAGTTCAAAGCCAGCCCAGGCAGGAAAGTCTGTGAGACTCTAATCTCCAGTTAACCACCAAAAAAGTTGGAAGTGAAGCTGTGGCTCAAATGGTAGAGTGCCAGCCTTGAGCATAAAAGCTTGGGGATAGTACCTAGATCCTGAATTCAAGCTCCACTACCGGTACACACACACACACTCACACACAGACACACAGACACACACACACAATCTCAAGGTTGAAGTGTGCTGTGCAACTTCATGCCATCGAGCCCTACCGTTTGCAACCGCGTGAACGAATGACACGCTTGGTTTCTCCAGCGGTGTCATCTCCTGCCTTGCTTCGCAGGCTTCGGCACTATTCAGCCTCCAGCCCTGGGCCCCCGAAGGAAAGATCTGGAGCCCTGTGATTTGAATATGTTTTAACAGCGGAGAAGATAATTATTTGGGGTAGCTGCTCTGATGATAGCTCGCACAGAGCTCAGCCTGCAGAGTGGAGCTGTCTCTAATCATGATTGCCTGTAATGATTACCCCAAACTCTGGAATGATAACAATAGATTGTACAAAGTTAGGGCATAATTAATTGCTTCCCCAAGCCAGATGGGAACGGAGCTACAGCAACTTTGAGCTTGCAGTCAGCCTTTTCACTAACTCGACTTCTTAAAAGCAAAGGCATGGTTCCTGGTACACCACCCCCTCCTTTTTAAAAATCACACCGAGGCCCAGATTTGTGACACTCATTCACCTGTTCAGAGCGGGTAAGGGCTGGGGCTGGGTGAGCCATTCACGTCCTAGGCCTGCCAGCTTTGAGCTACAGAAAACCTTCGATCTCTCTGTGACTCCGTTTCCTTATCTGGCAATACCTCCCTGGCTGACATGTTGGATTAGAAATAGATTATACCTAATCGGTGCCTTGAGCTGATAGGTAGCCAGTAAGGGTATGTCATTATCTTCATCATCACCACCATCACCACCATCACCACCATCACCATCATCATCACCATCATCATCATCATCATCATCACTGTGGATTCTCAAACTGTGGGAGTTTGTAGCTTTCGCTTGAGCTTGCAAGTTGGTTTGTAACCAGTGATCAGGGATGTGGTATTTTTCTCTCATTAGGGATGGAACTTGGCAAGAAATAGATACAAAAGATGACAAGATACAGGCCTCTGGTTTTTTGGGTTTTTTTGGTCCGGTTGTGGGTCCTGAACTCTGGGCCTGGTGCTGTCCCTCAGCTCTTCAGCTCAAGGCTAGCACTCTACCATTTGAGCCACAGTGCCGCTTCCGGCTTTTTTTTTTTCTGCTTATGTGGTGCTGAGGAAGCGAACCCAGGGCCTCATGCATGCAAGGCAAGTGCTCTACCACTGAGCCAACTTCCCAGCCCAGATACAGGCCTCTAAGAACAGAGTCCACCAGCCTGGTTCTGATGATTCTGTGCCAGTACCCACAAATGCCACCATGTCCTGCTGCCTGGGTTGGGCATTGAGTGTGTGTGTGTGTGAGTGTGAGTGTGAGTGAGAGAGAGAGGGAGGGAGGAAGGGAGGGAGAAAGAGAGAGAGAGAGAGAGAGCAGGATTCCAGCCTCCTGTCCCACCATTGAATGTAGAGGTTGGGGAGTGACCCCAGAAACGTCACTTTTAGGTAACCGGTCACTTGAACATTGATTATCTGTCCCTTCCCCTCTGAGAAACTCTATGCGCTTTGTCTGCAAATCACAAAAGTAGCTTAAACACAAAGCCAGGCACTGGTGACTCATGCCTGTAATCCCAGATACTCAGGAGGCTGAGAGCTGAGGATCGCCGTTCAAAGGCCATGAGACTCTCATCTCCAATTAAACACCAAAAAGCCACAAGTGGAGCTGTGGCTCACGTAGTAGCGCACTTGCCCTGATTTAAGGCAACAACAAAGTAGCTCAGACACAGGGCCCAGGCCCTGAGTTCAAACCCTAGGCTGAGAAAAAGGAAATAACAAAATGAAAACTACCCAAGCAGCTTCTTACTGATCAGCTTCAATGGCCCCAAGTAGCACCGCGCACCTGATTTTCTTGGGCTGGAAGGAAGCGGCGGTCACCAGCGCTGGGCCATCTCTCCCGCCCACCATCCCTCCCCTCTGCTGGTGCTCCCTGGCCTGAGGCTGTCTTAGCTCAGCCTGGTGTCTGCTCTGCCTGGCTGGGGTGCGAGCCTCTGGAGTGATGAATGAGGGAGAGTCCCGGCCTCCTCCGACCCCAGTGAATCAGCTGCCCTTGCCCGGCCCCGCGCAGGGCCCTTGAGCTCCACCCAGCCGGGCTGACTGGCGTCTGGCTAATGGCTTTGCTGTGTTACACATTGACCTCGTGCGGGCTGGGCAAGCAGTCCAGCACCGACCAACTGGACAGTGATCATTTCAGTGCCGTCTGATCCAGTCATCCCAGGCAGTTTCCACCATGTAGCCAACCCCAAAAGAAACCGTGCACCAACTGCGCATGTTTTCTAGAGTTGCCCTGCAAAATACCCATACCGGCTGACATTTAGAAGTTTGTTGTCTTGGGATCTTTCCTCACCTCATGATGTAGTTTCTCTACACAACCAAGGCTAGCCCCAAACTCTTGAGCCTTCTCCCTTCGCCTCCCGAAGGCTGGGAGAACAGGCATCTGCTACCATGCTCAGCCAGAGTGGGTTCCTTCTGAAGATTGCGAGGGAAATTCTGTTCCAGGTCTCAATCCTTGGCCATGTTCTCTTCACACCTGCTTCCTCTGTGCCAGTCTGTGCCTTGTGCCCACATTTTCTTTTTTGGAAGGGCACATACCACATTCCGCCAGAGCCCATCCTAATGACCTCAGTTTTACTCGCTCGGCCCCATAAAGGCCCTTTTTCCAAATAAGTCACATTCTGAGGCGCAAAGAAGCAAGGCTTCCCCACATTTCAGAGAGCACACTTCAGCCCATAGCACACATTAAGCAATTTCACTTTGAGTCCCTTTGATTCTTTTTTTGTGGCTGAGTAATATTCCACTGTCTGCAGTCATTTAGAGTTTGAACACCCAGTACAAAGCACCTGCCAGTGGAACCCCACTGCCCACCGAGCAACCGGACACCCAGGCTCAAGACTTGTGCAAGGTAGACCATGGATCTCATAGCTGTAGCTCACAAATCACCCAGCTGTGGACTTGTTCCTTACAAGTTGCCACCCTGGCAAGAGCTCTAGTGTTCGTGAGCCAGAGTCAAAGTAGTACTGGACTAGGGGGAATCCAAGTCCAGCTTCTGCACCTAGATTCCTTTCTGATTTTCCACCTGCATCTCTTCCTCTTCCTCTTCCTCTCTCCCTCCTCCCTTCAAGTATGTGGCCACACTCCTTTTCTGGAGATGGGCGTGGCCTGCCCAGGTAGCACAGCCGTTGGAGAAGAACCAGCCCAGAGCCCTAGCCTGCTGCCGTTGTCATGGTTACCAGGCCTGGTCCCCTGGGCTGGCCACAGCCTAGCTCCCACCAGCTTCTTCATACCTGGCCCAGCATGGAAGAGCCATCCATAGACCCGCGTCCTCTAAGCTTTGAAACCATCCACTGCTGACTTGAACATTTCTTCTGCCCCCTAAACTTAAAATCTATTTCTTCCTCTTGTACACGTTTGGGGGACCTGCATCCCTGCCTGCTTGGGCTGTTGGGGAGACAGGGGGCATTGTCATGATCTTGCTGCAGACTCAGGCTCCGCCCTTGTCCCTCAGCTGCTGTGACATCATAGCTGTGTTGCCAGGGCCCCTGCAGGAACATGTCATCCTGCCGGAGACCTTGAATGGACTTTTCCCTTGAGCAAAAGCCCGCCGCCTCTCTCTTCCTCTCTTACTAACCCCCTATCAAATTAATTTCACTGCTGCAGAAGTTCTTTGGAACTTTCTACTGGGAGGTAGAAATACCAGCTGGATCCTGGGTGGGTCCTAGCTACCTAAGAGGCTGAGATCTGAGGATTGGGGTTTGAGGCCAGTTGCCAGAAAAGGCCATGGGACTCTTATCTCCAATAAACTGCTTTAAAAAAAAAAAAAAGCCAGAAATGGAGCTGTGGCTCAAGTGGTTGTAGCTTTAGCCTTGAGAAGAAGAAAAGCTCAGGGACAAGGCTCCAGCCCTGAGTTCAAGCCCCAGGACTGGCACAAGTAAACAGTGAAGACAAGACAGAACGTCTCCCGTGGCCTTGGTCATTGGGTCGTTTTGAGGGGGGGCGGTGGTGCCTGGGACTCTGGCCGGAGGCTTCACCAGCCACCATGGAACTGGAGGAGGACTCAGAGAGCCCTGGTTGCCAGCGTGGCACAGGTTTCTGGAACTCAGCCTCTCCTTGGGGCTTTTGAAAGCTTCCAGAAGGTTCTCATGTCCAGCCACCTGGGAGATGTGGACAGCGGGCCCCAGGGGAGCCACTCACATTGGGAGTGGGGACATGCGAGCTTCGATGACTGAGGTGGAGCTACGTAGCCCAGCCACTGCAGAGAACCCGGGCACTGCAGAGAACCCGGGCACTGCAGAGAACCCGGGCACAGCTTTCTTTGCTCCGCAGAAGGGGTGGGGGGTGGGGGTGGGGTCACTCGGTGTGCCAGGGTGGCGGGGAGGGGATGGGGGGAGGTTATCTTCAGAGGCCAGCCGGGCTGACCTGCGTCTCCGTGTCTGTGCGCTTTGCAGTACAAGATCGGACAGCTGTACATGATCAGCAAGCACAGCCACGAGCAGAGCGACCGGGGCGAGGGCGTGGAGGTCGTGCAGAACGAGCCCTTCGAGGACCCTCACCACGGCAACGGCCAGTTCACCGAGAAGCGGGTGTATCTCAACAGGTGAGTCGGGCTGCCGGGGAGACACCCTAGAGTCCCTTGGCTCCTGATGCCAAGCCCCGTGTGAGGTTGCGGCCGTGGGCGTGGGGCTAGCAGTTCTGCCCTGGCCCTGTCCTGCCCCTTCCAGGTGGGAGCCAGTCTGCTATTCACTGTGCCCAATCACGGCGCTCCTGAGCTAAGCCCCGGAAGGGCTGGCGTTGCGGGCGTTCCGTTAGCTGTGGGAGGAGATGACCCCTTCACATGGCAGGGCGGGTCTGCGGGCTCTTGTGCCCTTGCGTCTTGATAAACTAGGACTTCGTTTGTAGTGGAGTGGTAATCAGGTGTCTGGAAAGGGACCTGGAGAAAAGTCCAGACACTTGGGACTAGATCAACACAGACTAGGTCAAAGGTTGTCCCCCTGCGTTAGGAAGGATTTTAAACCTGTTCAGGTCAAGTTTGTCTTTCCTGCTTCCTATTTTTTTCTTTTATTGCTAATGATATAGTGGATGACTAGAGCTGGTCTGATGATCTCCCCGTCCTTCCCCCTCAGATGCAACCCATCCTTCTGTTCTGGCTCTTGTCTGGGTTAGAATCGTGGCAACAGGGTGACCTAGGAGTGTAGGTGACTGGAATGAGCTGTTGAAATCAGCCTTCCCTGTATACTCCGGCTCCCACCTACCCGTGGCCTCTCTGGTTGGCCCACTGTGAGCATTCAGAGTTGTCCCTGGTGACTGTCCATCCATCCTTGATGCCTTGGAACCTGTCACCAGAGTAGATGTAAGTCTCCAGTCCCTCTAGCCAGGGCTGCAGAGCTAGGAAGTTCCTGAGCCTCGAGGAAATGCCGATGAGATTGATCCCTGGCCTCTGGGAGAAGTTGGCAATTCTCAGGCTTTGAACCACCTCTGCCTCCAGCCCACTGTTGACCCACAGGACTTGCTTTGCCCTGGGTCTAGGAATGACTTCTTTTTTTGTTTTTTTTTCCTCCAGTCCTGGTGCTTGAACTCAGGGCCTGGGCACTGTCCCTGAGGTTCTTTTGCTCAAGGCTAGCACTCTACCATATGAGCCACAGCACCACATCTGGCCTTTTCTGTGTATGAGGTACTGAGGGATTGAACCCAGGGCTTCATGCGTGCTAGGCGAGCACCTACCACTGAGCCACATGCCCAGCCTAGGAATGGCTTCTTTACAGAGACAGATTCCTCTGCGTTGGCCTTCTGAGCGTGGAAGGGATGGAGATCCCTTGAACCCAGGCCCCCCAGGCATCACCTCTGAAGAGCAAAGAGAATTGAGGGAGGGAGATGCAGGAAAACAGAAACTACGGAAAATTCCATTTCTTGGCAGACAATGACATTCTTTTAAGTTATTGCCTAGTGAATGTTCCCTCTGTACCCAAAAAGAAAAATCAAAGGAAAAAAGTCTCAGCAACTTTATAGCTTTTGCTGAACCCGAAGAAGTGTCTGGCTGGCTGTGTCCTGTCTGTTTTCACGATCAAAATACTAGGATATTTATTCTAAAAGCGAGTCGTCCACATTACCGAGAGGGGAAATGTGTTGTAAATAAAAGATGTGGACTCTCAGTAAGAGTAAGGGAGAAGATGGCTGCTTCCTGCCGCACACACAGGAGGAAACAGAATGATCCAAAGCTGATCTCAAAATAAAGGAAGGGAGCCGGGCGCTGGTGGCTCACGCCTGTAAGCCTAGCTACTCAGGAGGCTGAGATCTGAGAATCGTGGTTCAAAGCCAGCCCGGGCAGGAGAGACCGTGAGACTCCTATCTCCAATAAACCACCAGAAAACCAGAAGTGGCGCTGTAGCTCAAGTGGTAGAGCGCTCGCCTTGAGCTGAAGAGCTGAGGGACAGCACCCAGGCCCAGAGTTCAAGCCCCACGACCGACAAAAAAAAAATAAATAAAGGAAGGGAAATCCCCAGGTGCCAGAGCTAGAAGGAAACTTAAATCACCGTGGGAATCAGGCTGATGAGTGCCGAGGAAGCCAGGAGATGTCAGGGTCCCTGGAGAGCCACGGGCACCTAGGAGCTGGGCCATTGTGCCCCTAGGGCCACCTCAGAATCCGTTTTTAACAGGCCGGGTGGCTCACGCCTATAATCCTAGCTACTCCTAGCTACTCGGGTGACTGAGGATCACAGTTGGGAGCCAGCCAGAGCTGCAAAGTCTGGGAGATTCTCATCTCCAGTTAATCATCAGAAAACTGGCAGTGGAACTATGGCACAAAGTGGTAGAGTGCTAGCCTTGAGAGGACAAAGCTCAGGGACAGAGCCCAGGCTCTGAGTTCAAACCCCACAACAGGAAAAAGAAAAGGGGCGGGGCTGCGGCAAGGTTGGAGACCTTGAGTACCCGAGGGATGCTCACGCCTGTCATCCTAGCTACTTAGGAGGCTGAGATCTGAGGATGGTGGTTCAGAGCCAGCCTGGGCAGGAAAGTTCCTGAGACTCTTAGCACCAGTTAATCACCAAAAAGCACTAGCCTTGAGCAAAAAAGCTCAGAGACAGCCCCAAGCCCTGAGTTCAAATTCCAGGACCTGCACCCTGCTGCCACCACCCCCCCCCCAAAAAAAAAAGTGTGAGATCCTAGCTGAGTAAAAAACAAAAGAACATGGGGTGTGGTTCAAACTAGGGGTGTGGTTGAAGGAAGAGCTTGCCTGCCTCTTGAGCCCAGAAAGAAGAGGTGTAGCTAGAGTAACAGGTAATTAAAAAGCGAATTGGTTAACATCTGGGCAAATCTGAATGAGCCCAGAAAGCTTTTAAAAACCCTAACAATAGCTAATTGGTGCTATAACTATAAAATCAAGTAATAAAGCACAATAATACAAAAGATAGAAGAGTAGTAATTATAGTTTTAAAAAATGCCTCTAAGGTGCTAATGTTGTTTAGGAATTGGAAAGAGAAGTTGGTTGTTTTCAGTTGTGTTTTTTTCTCTTAAAGACAAGTTAAAGGAAGGTCTGAAGGAACAGTAGAACAGTAAATGAGTTTCAAGAGATAACATGCTAAATCCATACAAGGCAAGGAGCCTAGCTAGTAGTATGGGGTTTGCTTTGTACTTGCAAAACTGTGGGTTAGATTCCCAGCACCACCAAAATAATAATAATAGTAATAATAATAATAATATAATGTATGCTAAATAGAACACATACATTTTGAGGGCAAAACAAATTGGAAGGTAAGATACTCACTTTCCCAGTCACTCTTGCCGCAAGAGGTGACCAAGTGACCACTTCTGGCCAATGAGACACCAATATTTTCCACTTGGCTGATGCTAACACCAGAAGACATACTAGATGATCAATGGATTAAATGGTGCCATGACAGTATTTTTATTTATGAGGTTTTGTTTTGTTTTGTTTTTGGAAAGGAGAAGAAAAGGAAGGAAGAAGAGGAATGGAGGGTGATTGCTAGAAGAAAACCAATAGTGCTGGCCATGTGAGCCTTGAGAACAGAACTGAATGCTCTAGTATAAGAAAGGTCTCCTGGGTGCCGATGGCTCACGCCTGTAATCCTAGATACTCAGGAGGGTGGGATCTGAGGATCACGGTTCAAAGCCAGCCCGGGTAGGTGAGACTCTATCTCCAATAAACCACCAGAAAACTGGAAGTAGCGCTGTGGCTCAAGTGGTAGAGTGTTTGGCTTGAGCTGAAGAGTTGAGGGACAGAGCCCAGGCGCAGAGTTCAAGCCCCATGACTGACAAAAAAATAAGAGTTTTTTTTTTTTTTTTAACAATCAATAGGTGAGAGAGGTTATTACCTAGAGACTTAAAAGTGAGAAATGAATTCAAGTCCCAGTACTGGCACCCCCCAAAAAAAAAAGTCAGCCAAGAACATACACGTCCTGTAGAAAACATTAGCAAATCAAATACCTCAGAGAATAATAATGTGATGACCTAATCAGATTTAGCCCTGAGAGCCATTAAGTTGACATGAAGGAAATTTTTATGTATGCTTGTCCACTGTAAAGTCAGGAACTAAATAAGGATTCTGTTATCACCACTTCTGTCTGACCTTGTGGAAAGGTCTTAACCAAGGTGATAGAACAAGAAATGAACAGCTGGGGATGTAGCTCAGTGCTAGAGTGCTTGCCCAGCATACACAAGGCCCTGGGTTTGATTCCCCAGCCCCACACAGAGACCTGGTTGATCACAGTTCAGAGCCAGCCTAGACAGAAAAGTCTGACTCTATCTCCAATTAGCCAGAAAAATCCAGACTGGAGGTGTGTCTCAAGTTGTAAAGCACCAGCTGTGGGCAAGCAAGAGCTCAAAGCCATGAGTTCAAGCCCCACAGATGAACAAACACTGAGTATTAACACGCAGGCAGGCAAAATAGTTGCAAAAATATAATTTTAAACATTTCATTTACAATAGAAAAACTTACAGGAACCTGTTAAAAAATCTACAAGATACTCAAAAATTTAATTTGCAATCGAAAAATAAAGATACTTGCTAATAAATCTACAAGATATCCAAAATAGTTGGAGGATATTTTAAAAACACAAGACTAATGATGGGATATACCATATTCATGGATTGAAAATTATTATAAAATCACAGATCAACGTATAAGTTTAATGTAAATCTCATTAAATTGCTAATAGTGTTGTTTTTTTTTAATGCAATTCGGAAACCAGTAGTTCATACCTGTAATCCTAGCAGGATGCTGAGATCTGAGGATTGTGATTTGAAGCCAGCACGGCAGGAAAGCCCATTCAATTCTTATCTCTACTTTCCAAAAAATCTGAAATTAGAACTGTGACTCTAGTGGAAGTGTGCTAGCCTTGAGCACAGAAGATTGGGGACAGCACCCAAGACAGGCAAAACAAAAAAATAAAACAACTGGAGAAGGTTATTATAAAAATGTATACGAACAATTTTGAAAAGCTGAATAAGAGGGACTTACTCTACTAGGCAACATACTTTTTAAAATAAAATTATGGTAATTAAGGAAGTGGAATATTAGAGCAGAGTTAAATTAACTCATGGAACAAAACAGACTCCAAATAAATTCAAGTCATTATAAGAGCT